AGAAATATTCAGGTCCGAAATTCCGGATCAGAACCGCTATCCCGACGGTGGCGTTTCAGCGTCTTTCCGGTCGGCTTTTTTGATGAATTTTTTATGGCATGTTCTTCATCAAATCTAGTTTATTCACAAAAAAAATCAGCTAAGTATTCAATTGGGAAGGTCATCAAATATTTTTTTGAAGTTAACTGCATTTTATATGTATATTCCGGCGCAGTTATCTTTCAAATGCCATATGGCGGCCTTCCCGATTGAATTTTTAGCTGATTTTTTTTGTAGATAAACTAGACTTGATGAAGAACATGCTATAAGGATTTCATAAAACAATTTCACCGGAAAGGACCCCAAATGCCGCCGTCCAGACGGCGGTTCCGGTCAAGAATTCCCAACGAGAGGAGTACTCTATAAAGTACTCCATCCGTCCCGGAATTAGCTTCATTCTTTCTTTTTCGGTTTATCCCAAGTTTATCTCCTCTTTCCTTTTTTGGCAAAGAATTTGTGGTTCACAATCATTCTTACATGTTGGTCCAAAATAGGACGCTCGTAGGCTTTTAGGAAAGCTACGTACGACACTCAAGCAAGAATTAGGAAAGTACGAATATGGAAAGTTAGCCAGAAATAGCATATACAAATTGCCTCCTCTAATCTGAATTACAACCCGCCTTTTATAGGCGTATACAAATCGTAACGTCTATCGATAATAATGACTAATTAATTACAACATTAATACGGAATTAAATACATAATTAATAGCGCATTAATTGCTTGACCGTTACTCTTCCGATTGTGGACTTGGATCCACGGGTCCAAGTTCGGGGCTTGAGCTGATTAGGTTCTGGGCCTAGTCCCATTACTCCATCACGAGTCCCCCACTCCCTTAGTCGAGTAGTAGACTCGGCTAAGAGGGAGTAGTCCAAGTCAATTGCTCTTCTCCGAGACTACAAGATCCCCACCCTTGTCCGTGTTGGGGAGATGTCTCATTAAAAACCTTCATTAGGAAAAAACCTAATGGGAAAAAATCTTAATGAAGGGAAAAAGAGTACATCTGACACCCCCAAGTTGAAGCAAGAGGTGAGATCCTCATCCTTTATTGCAATGGTCGTCATCTGCGAATAGGGTGGATAGAACTGTTTTTCTCGTCGGGCTCAGACTCGTCAGGTTTGTCATTTGCTTCCTTGAAGACGGTAAGACCATCAGTCCTCCACTTCATTCAGTTGTACCTACACATAAAAGAAACGAGTGTAGAATATATAGAGCATCTGGCCTGGTGTCGAACCACGGTTCAGTGTGTAAGTGAGTCGGTCTCACTACTTGAAAAGAGTGACATCAAGTTCCCAAGTTAGGCCTCAACCCAGTCTCCGAAAGAAAGATTGAATCCACGAGTAAGTGAGGCGGACTCCTCACTCGAACGGATAATCCAACCCCAAAGAACTAAAGTATATCAACCTTTTCGAGAAATGTGAATGTCAATTAAGTGACAAAATTGCTCCGAGAAGCGTGGCTCTAGGCCCCTAACAAGAGTTTAACTCGCCGCCCGAGGTTAGTAGTTCGAACCCGCAAGCAAAGACTTTTGAACGGGTGACTCGTCCCCCGAGGTCGGAGTGTGATGCACTAAGAAGTGGTAAGAGCACGCAAGAACTCGTATGAAGTCAAGGGTGTGCGGTATTAACATTTATATTGGAACTTATTCATCGTCACACTCATATGACGTGACCCGGTGGCGCGAGTGTGTGTGCTCGGCCGGTGTACGAGTGTGTGTGCTCGCCCGGTGTACGTGAGTGATCGGATTTCATAAGCCCGTTTTTCAATGTTAAAATTACACACGCTTAACAAGAGTAAAAGCAATTAAACCACTTAAAATATCTTTTCAAATGTTTGAATTTATGATTTTTTTTTGTATCAAATATAGAGGATTTTTGGAAACTTAGCTTTAGAACCAAACGGGCCCGAATCCGTTGCTGAAAATTCAGCCCGTCATCCTTGAGGAGAATCAAATTTGATCTTAGTGTAATCTTGGTCCATCCACTTTAACGCATAGCAGACTCTTGCTCCATAGGAATTAGGTGGGCGCACATTTGAAGACCTATCTCATGAATAGGCGTGGCGATGAGGGAGACCAGCAGCGACGTCGGTGCACAACATCCAGCTGTGATTGGCGAAGAGAACAGGAGGAAGTGGAACTGTAGCACCTTGGATTGGGATGAATTTCTTGATTTTTTCCTACTAAAGTGATGTGAGAGATCAATAGAGGCTCTCAATGAAAGCACCAATGTTGGTCCAAAATAGGACGCTCGTAGACTTTTAGGAAAGCTACGTAAGAACACTCAAGCAGGAATTATGAAAGTACGAATATGGAAAGTTAGCCAGAAATAGCATATACAAATTGCCTCATCTAATCTGAATTACAACCCGCCTTTTATAGGCGTATACAAATCGTAACGTCTATCGATAATAATGACTAATTAATTACAACATTAATACGGAATTAAATACATAATTAATAGCGCATTAATTGCTTGATCGTTACTCTTCCGATTGTGGACTTGGATCCACGGGTTCAAGTTCGGGGCTTGAGCTGATTAGGTTCTGGGCCTAGTCCCATTACTCCATCATTACACATTTCTCTTTCCTCTGCACAACCCTCCACCACACATTTTCTACTATCTTAAAACTCATGCCCAGTCAAATAAGTAGATAATTTTGGGACGGAGGTAGTAATTGTTTAAATTATTAATAGGAACCCATTTTCATTTTTGAAACACCTTTATACACCGAACAGTCCAAGTCCAAATAATAGCAAATCATATGTCATACACATTAGATCTATACAGTACATTTTATTTAATAAAAAATCTCGATTCACAACTGACCTCTTAATGTGTCAATTCAAGCCGGCCTTGTTTACTGTCCGGTGACTGAGGCCAAGTGACTTTCCTTGGTGATTACCGCCTGTGGTTAGTACCGTCATCACTGACGATTGAGTGCTATAGACCATAGTAACGATTCCGAGTGGGTGAGTCTCCTTAGAATTTCTTCCATTCACACACTAGCTATCCCTAGTTAAGTTTATTTAACTTCTCCGGTCATTCGATCGTACCATTATGATAATACTTTATTAAACTAAAAAGCAAATTGAGGAGGGCGCACTTGCACTTGTCGCCCACATCATTCTCCTTTCTCCATTTACACTACGTACCCCGGTCTAGTAAAACTAAAATCAAGATAGTTTGTGCAAGTACTAACTACTCCGTATGTGTTAGAAAATATTTCCAACACTATGTTAGATATTACTTTCTCCGTCCCGTATTTATCTTCATTCTTTCCTTTTCGGTCCGTCCCAAATTTATCTCCCTTTTCCCTTTTTGGTTAAGAATATGTGATTCACAATCATTCTTACACATTTCTCTCTCCTCTGCATAACTCTCCAGTCTCCACCACACAAATCTCACTATCTTAAAACCCGTGCCCGATCAAAACCGGAGTTAAATATGAGACGGAGGGAGTATTATAGTTCAATTTACCCTCTCATCAGGGTTGGAGCCCTCAGTGATGAGGTGTCATTTTTTTGATAATATTTAGGTGTTACAATTCATTCTTACTTTATTTAAATTTTATCAATTTAATACCAATTTCACAATTTCACTACTCCCTCCGGTTCTTATTAAAGTTCCCACTTTCCTTTTTGGGATGTCCCTTATTTAAATTCACACTTCCATTTTAGGAAACAAAACAGTGCAAAACAGTGCCAAACAGTGTCAAACAATGTCCAAACAGTGCCAAACAGTGCCAAACAGTGCACTCCACAGTAAAGTCAAATTCATTTTCTTAATATGTGTGAAGTCAAACTGGGAACTTAAATAAGAACCGGAGGAAGTATTTCTGAACACTTGTGTCTCACGCCCCAAACATATTTGGATGGAGGTAGTACACATCTCTGCCGTGTGGAATTTTTACAAACTTTGACATATCTATAGGCAAGCACGACAAAAATTACTCCGTATGGTTTGGATGGAGGTAGTACAAAACGTGCTTTTGATGCTTTTAAGGTTCGAGGAATCAGGAACGTTCTCAACTTTTAAAGCAGAACGAGTTATGACGCGGACCAATAGGCAATAATAAAAGTGGAGAAGATAATTATGAAGTAGACTTCATCATCAACAATAATAATGGTTTGTGTACGCGACATTATACACGCTGAAATGTACTCCTCCCATTTACCATATTTGACACACTTTCCCTTTTTGGCTGTTTCACAATCAATGACACATTTCTTTATTTCCTTCTTTGGTAAACAAATCTTTACCAAAACAGTGTAAAACAATGTCAAACAGTGCCAAACAGTGTTCAAAAAATGCTAAACAGTGTTCAAACAATGCCAAACAGTGTACTCTACAATAAAATTTATCCTTTAGTACAATTTTTTTCTTAATTCTTGACAAGTCAAACTGTGTCAAAGATTGTGAAACGGAGGGAGTGTATATAGAGAATTCGATCCGTGTTTTGTAAACAAAATTGTTTTTTATAGACAAAAAAATTGTCTATGTCACAGACAATTTTCTTTTGTTCGTGACATGGTAAATATTTTTTTATCTATGAAAAATTAATTCTCATCATAAAATGCTGGTCAAATTGTGAGTTGTGGTGTAAAATGGTGTCTACTGCTCGCTACAATGACTACTTCCGTCTCGAAAAAGTTCGTCATATTGACTTTTCTTGGTCAATGATAACAAACTTTGGACAATGATTTTGATTATTATATTTGTATATAAATTATACGGAGTAAATTTTATACTTTTATGAAAATATTTTGAATAAGGAACATTTTGATATAATTTTCATATTTTAGATAATTTTATATTAAAAAGTATCATTGATCAAAGTTAATTGTCATTGGCCAAGAAAAGTCAATTTGACGAATATTTTAGGATGGTAGCATTTTTCTCACCAGTCACCAGCAATATAAATGCACACTTGATTACTTAAACACTCGCTACTTAATTCAGGGTAACTTGATGCATGACATACTGTACGATCTAAACAACTTAAAAGCAAAAGAATTAGAGTATTCCTCACAAGAAATGAAGACGACGATGCAAATGCAGTTGACCGCCGCAGCTGCAGCGGCGTTGCTGCTGGCGACTGGATTTGCCTTGGCGGCGAGCGCGGCGCAGACCGAATCTAGAGGATCCGGGCTGGGCTGCCCGAGCAAGTGCGGAAATGTTACGATATACTACCCGTTCGGCGTCGGGGAGAAATGTGCCTTGAACAGAGACTTCACTCTCAGCTGCGAAGACTCAAAGTTATGGACGACCTACTCCCAAAATTCTCAAACCCAGAAAAGGGAGTCCCAAATCACAGCCATTGATTACGGTAAAGGGCAGATGGATATTCTGAAGCAAGTATCCAGCGACTGTTACACAGAATCCGGCAAACGTATCCCAGCCAAACACGATTGGCTTAATGTCACAAATGCCTTCACCGTTTCCAGTAAAGCGAACACTTTCTACACCGTCGGCTGTAACACTTATGGAGTGTTCAGAAGCTCGAAGGAGGGCAGTAGATTCGCGACTGGGTGCGTTCAGATTTGTGACAGAGCCCCGGAAAAGAAGGACGTCGGGAACTGCTCTGGGTTCGGGTGTTGCCGGACGAATATTCCGGCGATTGGGCTCAGGGACATCGAGGCTGAGGCCAGGAGCCTCACCTTCGATAAAAAGGTGTGGAAGTTCAACAACTGCAGCTATTCTTTTGTGGCGAAAAAAGGGTGGTATGGTTTCATCCCGGAGGATCTAATGCGTCTGAGGTTTGACTCGGCGCCTCTGGTCGTAAATTGGGCCGTCGGGAATCGGAACCAGACTTGTAAAAGCGCTGATACAGACGGCGGTGGGTATGTTTGCGGCCCAAACACAGAGTGTGTGGAGACGGAATTCCGGTGTGGGTACCGATGTAAATGCAAAGACGGATATGACGGGATTCCTTACAGCCCGCATGAATGTTATAGTAAGGACTTTTTACTCTTTCCTAAGATTCATTCTTTCCCATTCATCTTATAATATCTCCATTCGTGCTTTTTAATTTTACAGTTTTTTATACTCCCTAGTTTGTTATTATCACGTCATTAAGAAAATCTTAAATAATTTTCTCACCAATTAATTTATTCTCAACCATGATCTTAAATCACTTTGATTTTTGATTTTTTTATCCCCATCATTACTTTTTGGAAGTGATGTATGGATCACTTGCAAATGTTGCAATGGAAATCAAGTTCAAATTTAATGCTTGTGACCCTTAGTATTTCATATTTTGAGAGAGGAACCTAAAAATTTGGGTCTTTGGGAATAATCTCTAATAATACTAGATTTAAAATTTGACACTAGATTTTTTTAATCAAATAATCTCATTATCTCAATCATTATCTCAAAAAATATCTATCTATATCATCAGATCCCTAAATAAACATATGGATGAGGATGCTCTTACCTTAGATGTAATGTCTAAAATAGTACTCCGTACTATCACATCATCCTTGCATAAAACTAAGATTGATTTTCAATTTGGATAAAATTGACAATTCTCATTTCCATTTTAGGAAACAATTAACAATCTTAAGTCACAAATTAATCATTAAACATTAAACATAATACATTTATAACATCACAGTTATCAATACTAACTACCTTATAATATATACCTATTAAAATTATTTCTCAAAGTATACCCGGAGTACTTTATTTAATTATTGCATAAATAACCGTGTTGTTTTGCTATGGGAACCTTCCAACGGGACGGATGTAGTATATTGACGTGCACTTTCTCCGGTGTGCATTATTGGCGAAGCGGACGTCCTCGAAACTTGGAATAGGTGCTCTAGCGTTGGAGGTCTCTGCCCTTTCCTTCCTTGGAGCCAGGGAATGCTAGTTCAATCTTGAAAAATTGGGCCTTGGGTAATGGGGTAGGTTTATTTTGGACTTTTGAGATATGAAGGGGAAGTGGGGTTAATTGGTATGGAGATGTAGAGGAGAGTGAGGGGAGTGTTTTGGTGGTAGAATGAGAGGATTTGGTGGAGGTTTGAGGGAGATATGACAGAGAGAAGGTGTAAAAATGGAGTTTGGGAGAGGAGGGTTCGAAATTTGGGGAAGAAATTTGGGGAAGATGAGTGAGTTTGGCGTGTAAATAGATTAAATCGCATGTATACCCGATCGGGTACCCCCGTCATACCCGATCGGGTATGTGCGTTTTGTTGAGTTTTTGCTGGTTTACCCAATCAGATGTTTGAAATACCTGGACGGTTTTTTGAGGCAGTGAGTTGAGTTTGGCTTTTCCACCGATACTCGACCGGTTAGTGTACATGTGCCCGATCGGGTATGTGTCTTTTTCGTTGTTCGATCGGGTAAGCCTCCGGATCTTGAATTCAGATTATACCCAACCGGGTATAATGATGTACCCGATCGGGTCCTCCTGGGAAAAATAGATTCAGTTGAGTATAAAAGTATACTCGATCGGGGAGTTTCCGCCGTAGTGCCCAGATTTAATTTTCAACCATATACCCGACCGAATAGGGTAGTATACCCGACCGGGTATATGCTTAATTCTTCAAAACCTGTGTTTTTTTTTAATTTTTTTGTAAATGTTTACACACACACACAATCAAATAAATGAAAAGTAATCAAAATACAAATTTGGGTTGCCTCCCAAAAAGCCCCTTATTTAACGTCGCGGCACGATGTTTTTTTTTTAATTTTATGTGGGATCGTGAACATCTCTTGTTTCATTCTTCAAGTCCCTGTTTGGTCATTTTTCAATTTTTTTTTCCAGCCTTTTCCAGTAAGGCTGAGCTTTCTTTCTTGCCACCACCTCAACCGCCGGTGGTTTATCTAGTGATTGCTCAATGATCAAGATTGATTTTTTAAAGAGAGAGTGATTTTTAATAGAATTATAAATGTTATATTCTATTTTCCTTCCATCAAATTCCATAGTTAAAAGTCCGTTAGAAACATCAATCGTTGAATTATCAGTTTTTAAAAAAACGGTCTCCCTAACAAAATAGGGACTTCGTGTTCATCATTCTCCATTTTAAGTACGTACAAATCAGTAGGAAACACTAGATCACCTACCGAAACTAGTACATCTTCTACTACCCCTTTCAGGGAAACAGTTGATCTATCAGCCAGTTGAATTATGACACCTGTTTTATTTAAAGGGCCAAGGTTCAAAGAATTATATAGAGTATAGGGGATCATGTTAATTGATGCCCCTAAGTCTAACATTGCCCTAAAAATGGTGTCTCCTAGCTTGCACGATATAGTAAACATGCCCGGGTCAGTACATTTTTTTGGGAGTTTCTTTTGAAAAACTGCCGAGACATGTTCACTAATTTCACTTGGTTGTTTTCCCTTTGAGTGTTGTGTCCTCTTGATTGTACATAATTCTTTTAAAAATTTAGCGAATCGAGGGACACTTTTAATTAAGTTAAGGAGTGGAATATTTACTTCACACTTGGCGAAAGTCTCATAGATATCCGCATTTCTCTCCAGCTTCCTTGTTTCTTTGAGTGCTTCCGGAAATGGTGGGAGTGGCTCGTATGATGACAATGGTGGTAATTTGGCCTTTGTGGTCTTCTCCTCCGGCTGAACTTCTTCTTCAGGGTACATCTCCTCAATCTTCTGATCATTCTTTTCTACCTCCTTTAATGTCGCCCCACTTCTCAACATGATGGCATTCACATGTTGTCTCGGGTTTTGCTTCGTTTGAGATGGAAGTTTACCCGAGTCCTTCGCTTCAAGTCGGCTCACGCCATTTGAGATTTGGCTAACTTGAGTTTCCAAATTTTTAATGCTTGACTTTGTCTCATGTTGGAATTGTATCATGGTTTGTTGGAATTATCCCATGTTTTGTATCATGCTAACCATGTTTGAGGTCAAAGTTCGGATCATGTCATCAGTTGACATATTAGGTTGATAATTTGAGCATTGAGTGTTGAAAGGTGGTTGAGAAGTTGGGTTGGATTGTTGGGGGCTTCCATATCTCAAGTTTGGATGATCCCTCAATCCAGGGTTGTAAGAATTTGAGAACGGATCATACCTCCTTTGTTGATGTGCTTGGAAGCCCAAGGCATTGACTTGCTCTTCTTGGAGTGATGGACACGAATAAGTGGGGTGCCCGGTTGATGTGCAAATGCCACAAGCTTTGACCTCCTGAGTCTTTGACTTTAGAAGAAGTTCTTTGAGCAGAGAAGTCAAACCGGCAACTTGTTTTTCCAACGAGGTGTTGGATTCTGCTGCGGCAACCCTTCAGGTTGAGGACCGCCCATTGTAATGCCTAGAGTTCTCGGCCAACTCCGAGATGAGGTTCCTTGCTTGAGAAGGGGTTTTGTTAACAATTCCCCCTCAACATGCCGCATTCACCATGCGTCTAGCTTGATCCGCAAGACCATCATAAAAATAGAGGATGAGGTCTTGCTCGGTGTACCCATGATATGGGCAACTGGCACACAACGTTTTGAGACGCTCCCAATATTCATATAATGTCTCATCTTCTTTTTGCTCGATGTTACTTATTTGTTTTTTCAAAGAGGATGAGATGGAGGCGGGATAGTACCTATCCAAGAAGCATTTTTTCATTGTCGCCCATGTATCTATACTTCCCGAGGGAAGATAGAATAGCCAGTCTTTTGCCGTGTCTTTGAGGGAGAATGGAAAAGCCCTCAATTTGATTTGTTCTTCCGAGACTCCATTGGGGCACATGCTTGTGCACACAATATGGAACTCCGAAAGGTGCTTATTTGGATCTTCTCCTCTTAGGCCATGGAAGGATGTCAGTAATGTATGAGCCCAAATTTTAGCTCAAATGTATTACCTTCATTCAGTGAGCTCCCGTAGTGTTCTTGTATCGAGAGCCATTTGAATAGACTCCTCGGATTCGCTAGAGCTAGAGCTAACGTTTGATGATTCCTCCGAGGGTGTGTGTGGAAATAAATTTCGCAACCTCTCGAAGGCTTGTTCTATTTCGGGATTTGTTTGGTTGGTGAGTTGATTTATAGATTGGGTTCTTACCATATACTCAAACCAAGCTAGAAAATAGAAAAGTAAAGATTCTTTATATTTTGTTTATTATTTTTTTTTTCTTGAAATAAAATAAAAGAAAAATAATTGCATTTCCTCGGCAACGGCGCCAAATTTGACGTGCACTTTGTCGTGGTGTGCACTCAAAATAATAAATACAATACAACACTTATACGTAGTATAGTGTAGTAAGGTTTGTATCCACAGGGAAAGTGATACTTTTCTATTTAATTAAATTCTAGTAACAAGAGGGGTTTTATATATGATTTGATTTAATTTAATTAACACTAAGATCAACAACTTGTTTAAGTTTAATTAATAGAGATAAGTACTTGGTTTTGCTTTTATCCACTTAATGAAATGTTTGTCGATCCCGGTTATATCTTTAACTATCTTCCTCTCGAATACTCAACCGAGGAGTATATCCAATTCATCGAGGGTAGTTATTAATAACGAGACGCGTTCATTAATAAAACTTATTACTGAATCAATATAGAACACGCGCTGTATATTAACCCAATAGTAGCAATAAACTTAAGATGAAAACGATTGAGATTGATAACCTCAACACAAGCAGTTTATTGGTTTAATCAATATAATTAATTCCCCTTAGATTATTAACCATGAGACGCATGCATTAATAATCCAAGTTTACTACTGTTGAATGAACCGAATTAATAACAAGCGTATTAATCAATTGATTCTAGTAATAATTAATATATGAAACAAAACTAGTTGATCCTTTAAGTAATGCTCAAAATATTAAAATGAAATATGAATAGGAATTAATTAATATTCAATTAAGAATATTATTAAAGAAGATGAATCCTACTATAATTAATATCAAGATGTTAACTAATTGTCATCTTGGCAACACTCCCCAACATTAATATAGAGGAAGAAAATACTACTATAACTAATGTCAAGATGTTAACTAATTGTCATCTTCGCAACACTCCTCAACATTAATATAGAGATATATAGTATTAAGGAAAGAACTAATAATTAATATTCAAGGAAGAAGATTAAAGAAAATAACTCACAACTTACAATTCATTAAGCTTCATAGTAGCAAAACCAAGATGAAAGAATTTAGCTCCTCATTTGGAGACTAAACAAGATGAAAATATAAAGAAAGAACTTGTCTAAACTGAGCTTAGAAGTATGTGTGAATCAGTGATTTTATTGTGAGGGAATGAGGTGTATTTATAGGTTTTTTGGTCTGCAGGGTCGTGTACCCGATCGGGTATATCTACGGTACCCGATTGAGTATCATCAGAAACGTGTAACATATGCACACCCAATCGATTATGGAATAGATTTTATAGGCATACCCGATCGGGTGTGTCGGTGTACCCGATCGGGTATAGACACTTGATCGTGGTCAAAATCTTCCCTGCACGTTCCTTTCTCTTTGGATCCGATTTGATTTGCAAAACAAGTAGGTACCCCGGTCGGGTATATGGTATACCCGACCGGGTACAGCCCAAAAATGAGATCTTTCTTCTTTGTCTTGCATTTTTGCACCTTCCTTCCACTTTTGTAGTTCACCAATGGTCTCTTGATTGAACATGAACCTGTTTTAGCTCATAATATACCTAATCTAAACAAATCACAAATATTTTACAAACACAACGTATTACACCAAAAGTGTGTAATTTCCAAAGTATCAAACAACAAAACTAACTAAAAATACAAACATACACATATAAATTACATGTGTATCATATATGTTAAAAAACATAATTTTATAAAAGACTTATGCCCTAACCAGTCACCTCTCTCCCTCTATGATGGCGATGTTGTGGGATACTCTTACCCCTTCGTTCAATTTTGGCGCCGTAGTCGCCAAAGAAATTGCGTCTTCACCAACGCTGAAAACACCTCTTACAGCCTTATTCACCGCTCGGCTAGCCAATCTCTTTCGTCGCACCTCTAGCCCCTCTGTTGCTTTATCGTTCTACCATCGACGCCGCTGCCCCTATCATTCCACACATCATTTATTTTTCTTCTTTTTCTTCTCAGTGGGATGGCACCTTGGTCTTCTTCACAACAAACCGTTTGTGCTATGCAGCGAAGATGACTTCAAATCACGGTTTGAAGTCATTCTACAGAGACGGCTCCAAATCGGTGGCATGGCGGCTCGACTTCCAAAGTCAAAGTAGGGGTTATTGTGCAGTTTGTTTTAGCCTGGGCGAGGGCAGTGGAGAGAGGCGAGGTTGAGCCAGTGGACGTGCAGGCGTAGGGTTGAGCCAGTGGACGTGCAGGCGTAGTGGATAAGGTGTGGTTGGGTTGTATGGTTTCAAGACATGGTGGTCAGTAATTGTTGGAAGTGGTTCCACTAGGGTGAGGGGGTGACATCAACGCCCCTCAATGGAGGAAATAAGTGTAATTGAAAGAAATAAGGGAAAAACACACTTTTAGTCTCTCAAATAGCAACCATATTGAAATGGCTGATGGGCCGAGTACCATAAAGTATTAGTATAATGTTAAAAGTCTCATCTCGATATACTCTATAGTCAAATGTAAAAGGGCATTTTGGGGTGTTTCGTAGTATACTGTCCATCAGCCATTTCATTTCCTTTTGGTGAAATTATAGGAGATTAGACGAACACGATGGCCCCGTATACTGTCCACTCTAAAGATCATTATAAACTTGTAGTTTATAGATTACTCAAAATCTCATTATGAACTTGGAGTTCATAGATTACTCCACTTGTCATTATGAACATAAGGTTCATAGATTACTTAGGATGTCATTATGAATGTGTAGTTCATAGATTACTCACACATCATTATAAATATGTAGTTCATAAATTACTCACATATTATTATAAACATGTAGTTCATAGATTACACAAATATCATTGTGAACATCTAGTTCATAGGTTACTCTCATATCACTTAACTTCAAAATATTCTCAAAATATTTATTTCAAATTCAGGTCTCAAAATCATATGTCAAACATCTCCAATTCAAAGTCAAAGTTCACAAATCAGGGCCTACTCAAAACTAGTTTCAAAATGGTATTTAATACCATATTCAAAATAATCCAATTAGGATATTTCAAACTCCAGAATATATATGTGAATATTCATACCAAATTATACATTTAAAAATATATAACTTTTCCCAAAAGATTTGATCTCACAACACTTTCCAAAAAGAGGATTTAACACAAACCACTACTTCTCAAAAGTAGCATTATTTACTACCACCATCTAAATAATCCAATTGGGGTATTCTAAAGCCAGAATATATTTGCAAAACAACCAACGAAAATAAGCTCAAAATATACTTCAATTCATGCCAAAACAATCACCACAGTTTTCTAATCCATGAATAACTTTTTCTCAAACACCACAATTTCTACCATAACAAAGTAATTTGACAAATTCCCCCAAAATCATATGTTCAAAATTTACATAAAATCATAGATCATATATCCATCATATAATACCCGAAATACTCATAAAATTTCAGAAAGAAACTCAATTCATAGCTCAAATCCTAGTTAATATTTAATAAGGACAAAATAGTAATTTTGGTTACAATAGTCCTCAACTCGAGACAAGCAACGAATCTTAAACGTCAAACCCTATCTTGAGAGGTCACTCACACGATCCTAGAAAGATATAGGTTCGAAGGACTACAATTTAGGAGAGAGAAATCAAGAAATGGACAAACGATATGAATTAGGCAACAAACACACTTACCAGAAGAATTAATTATTTGATAACGTTCTTCGCCTCAAAAACCATGTTTTATGTGTTAGGATTGAAGAGATGGAAGAGATAGAGCTTGTAGAAATGGCTATAGAGTTTTTGGAATGAGGATAATGGGATTAGGGTGTATTTATAGTGACGCACACCGTGATTGCCTTCCACGCACGTTGTGCGTGGCTGGAAGTAGCTCTTCCGCTTGATTTTCTTGCCACGCACGCCGTGTGTAGCCTCACGCACGCCCTGCGTGACCCTCAGACGCACCAAAATCAAAATTTGTTCCGCTTCTTCCCCGTTTTGGCCTCCCATTATATTGGTCATTTGGTCCCAAACACTAAAGCAAACATAAAAAACTATATATCTAGAGACCCTCTTATATATCTAGCAAACATAAAAAACTATATTTCTAGCAGCACTCAAATTATGACTTTGCAATTAGGAACGAACGATTCATTAAACTTTTGTGCATGCATACCTTTCTTTCATTTTTCTTTTCATACGTTTGGTACGTTTCTTTTTATTTTTCGATATTATGAGTATTTTTTTGAATAAATTTAAAGCAGCATATATATACATAAATATAACTAAGTTCCAAAGTCTAATATTAGGGAATTATCAAGATTAAGAGACCTAACAACTAGTACGTACTATGTCGACATTCTTGACTCAAATGAGTTTTGAACCTATGACTTCTTTATTGGGAATGTCATAGTAATGTCATTGAACTAAAATGTGTTTGAGGACCAACACTTTACTTAATAGTACTTCCTCCATTCCTAAAGGATTGGTCAATATGACTTTTCTTAGTCAATGGGGTTAAAGTTTAGACAATCATTTTAACTATTATATTTGTGTGTAATTTATCAATTTTATACTTTTATGAAATATTTTTAAATAAAGAATATGCTCATATAATTTTAATATTTAAAATAATTTTGTATAAAAATATCATTGGTCAAACTTCAGCACCATTAACAAAAAAATGTCAATTTGGCCCATCTTTTTGGGACGGAGGGAGTAAGCAATATAAATGTATAGTATGAAAACAAAGGCAAAAGACAGAGTTCCATATGATCACTAAATTGATTCATTCCACCAATTTCAGCATACTCTATTTTCTTCAATTTTAATAAATTAGACTCGCATTAATCATTATTGTGACTATTATTAATTAGTTTATTACTCCAGTAAAATCCAGTAATGGACAAAAGACACAGGTTTTTATTTTCCAAATTTATTTGCAGGAAAGTATGAAGCGAAATAACTTCATCAAGTTTTCTAGCCTTTCATACTGTTAAATATCAATATCATTTTTGGTTTATCTCCATCGCTTCTAATTTATTCTCATATTGTTATAATACACTCTAAAGTCTTTTCTCATTGGTTTAATTGATTTATACTCCATTTCTTACAGATATAGATGAATGTAAATATAATAAACAATCACCTGAGTATCCTTGCGGGGAAGAAGCAACATGCTATGACACAAATGGTAGCCACGCTTGTAAGTGTGGAAAAGGATATGAAGGAGATGGGAACAAAAGTGGAGAGGGTTGCCGCAAATCTATTAGCAATAATACCGTGCTATTAGTTGGTTTGAGTAAGTGACCACTCTCTTTAATTTAAAATGAAAGAAAACAAAAGATCATTCATAAAGTCAATTCATCAATGTTCCAAGAGTTCAAAAAAACAATTAAACTGTTTATTATTAATATTCTTAAATATAGATCTTCCGGCCATGCGATTATGCGAAGACTATTTTTGAGTAATTATGAAAATTAGTTAAACCTTAAATAGTCCAAATTGTAGGAAGATTAATTAATGTGCATATATACTATGTATGTTTTAAAGTAAAATACAAAATCATTTTTTTATAAATAAATTTTTCCATATACTGTATAGACCATAACTTTGAAATGTTAAACCTTCTATATTAAGACTGACTCTCCCTTATGGAATGTCTCAAGTTCAATACTCAATGAAGTGATTTTGATCTCAGTTTACTCCAGGCCCCCTTCCCTCGACCCCCTTAGAGTAAAATAGAGACTATTTTAGCCCCTGTTTCACGCTTTGAATGTTCAATTAGACCAAAAGCAACAAACATGTTTACCTTTTGGCCTATATCAAAATAGTTACGCATGACTTTGTTTTCACTGAAAACAATGTGTTTCAAAATTTTCTCTTTTCTAACAATGTGTATCAAATATGTGAATCTTTATTTTCTTAAACTGCACGTGGAGTCAATTTAAGGACAACTGGGGTATATTATATACTTCCTTCATTGGAGAGAGAAATAACAATACTCGTAAAGTAGTAAATTTAAATGGGAAAAACAAAGTTTTTGAGAATAGAAAATGAAAAGTTGGCAAAAAATTGAATGCAACATGTACTTTGTATTATTTAAAACAAGACTCTAAACTAATTATTGTGCTTCAATTTATGATTCACAGGCATTAGTACTGGCGTGACAACATTGCTTGTAGTAAGCTTATTCATATATTGGGGATTGAGGAAGAGGAGACTTAGCAAACTTAGAGAGAAATTTTTCCATCAAAATGGTGGTATTTTGTTACAACAACAAATAGCCGGAAACGGAGGGTCAAATGATGCAAGAATGAAAATCTTCACTTTGAAAGATCTTGAGAAAGCCACTAACAATTTTGATGAAAAAAAGATCTTAGGTCAAGGTGGATATGGAACAGTTTACAAAGGAGTACTCTATGATATAGGAGCGGTAGCTATAAAAAGGTCCAATATTTGTGAGAAACGTCATGTTGAACAGTTCATCAATGAGGTCATCATTCTCTCCCAAATCAATCATAGAAATGTTGTGAAGCTCTTCGGTTGCTGTTTAGAGACGGAAGTTCCATTACTAGTCTATGAGTTTATAACTAACAACACTCTATATGAGCACCTCCATAAACAAGCCCAATCGTCTAATCTTTCATGGACAACCCGTTTAAGAGTGGCATCTGAATCTGCAGGAGCGCTATCGTATTTACACTCCGCTGCTTCTCCCCCAATCATTCACAGAGATATAAAGACAGCCAATATACTACTAGATGATAGGCTCACCGCAAAAGTTGCTGACTTTGGAGCTTCAAGGCTTGTTCCTCTTGACCAAACTCAAGTCACAACTTTAGTGCAGGGAACATTTGGATATCTAGACCCAGAATACTTCCACACGAGTCAATTGACACATAAAAGTGATGTTTATAGTTTTGGGATTGTTCTGGCGGAGCTTTTAACCGGAGAGAAGGCAATTTCATATGATAGGGCAGATGATGATATGAATCTAGGGGCTTATTTTGTTTCTTCACTTGAAAATGGCCGGATGTCTCAAATTATGGATCCTCATATAGTTAATGATGTGGACTTCGAGCAATATATGGAAGTTGCGAAGATTGTGAGCCGGTGTTTGAAGGTGAAGAGAGAGGAAAGGCCGACTATGAGAGAAGTGGCGATGGAGATAGAGGGATTGAGAGGGCCTGAAAGGCAACCATTGGAAGGATTGGGAGACAATGAAATGTCTTCTCGCACAATTAATGTTAGAGATTCCTTCATAAGTAGGTTTTACACAATTGATGGAGAAAGCATGGAGCCATTTTCTAGGTCATTGAGTGGTGGGAGATGATGGCAATTTGATCTTGTTTTCTCCTAGTATTGAATTTGATTTTTTCACACCACATTCTAACTTTGCCAGTGTTCCCTTTACAATTGTATCGGAATTAATCGATCAATCTCTTTTTAGGCAAGATAGAAGAGTAAGGTGAGAGAGACATTCCATCAAATTAATATGTAACAGTTTGTATTATTCGATCAATCTCTTTTTAGGCAAAAGTGATATTATTTAGACTATTAACAGTTTGTATAAGAACTTTGTATAATCTACTCATGATACTGAAATATGTGAAAGTTTATAGATGTAAAAAGAAGGGTTAATTAGCTAAATAAGTCTAAAACATGCCTAAAATCACAAATAAGAAATAAGACTACAATGTTTTAAATTTCCTAAAAAACAATTATCCTACTGGGGAATTCCCATGACCAAACCTCAAAAAACATGAAGCCATAATACCAAACACCAGCAAAAAGAAGCAGAGCACCTAGCGAAAAGTCATCCTTAAATAAACTATTTCACCTAGTCAAAGGACAATAAAACAAAAGAACTAATTTGTTTCATCTACACAATGTATACTGTTTTTATACTATTGAGAGCTGCATTTAAAAAAATATAGTAGCCATTGAGTGAAATGTTTAATAGATGCGCACAAAACAATTTAGTCTCAATAAAAGTGTCCTACATGAGTTGCACATCAAATGCCACCTCATATATCAAACTCATTTTCATAAACCAATGACTACATGAAGACTTTCAGCATTATGAGTCTAAATCTATAGAAACATTAATCCTCATATTGCTTGCCTCATCATAAGACCACCAGGAACTTTCTTGAGTGCACTTGAGAATCTATCCTGTAAAGATCTTCATGTTTCAGTTTTCACTGAGGAATTTTTTTATCCTGAGATTCTAAAATAGTTAACAATGAGCATGTGATTAATTGAGAGAATAATAGGAACCCAACGCAACTCGTATTTCAGTATGCCCATAATGTACTCAAAATTTAAGTCAATCTCCGTAACACGGTTGATTTAGTAAACCTGAAGAGTATGCACTTGAGTGAAAGACGTATGTCTTTGTTTCTATTAATAATTTGGACTTGAGTCCTGAAGAAGAATTGTGTATATTTACGATACGAATCCAACGCAACTCGTATTTCGGTATGCTCATAATGTGTTCAACTAATTGAGAGATTACGTGGACGTCTATCATGCTTAAAATACTCCTTCAACACGGAAATATGATGACTCAAAAAAGAAAGTAGGAGCAGAGCCATGTAGTTCATTATATTAGTACCAACTTAATCATATAATATTTCTCTCAAAATAAAGAATTGTGAACAAACCCCTGTTACAACCCGGCAAAAATACTCTCTTCATGCTCCAGACTCCTTTAAAGCTCATGCTCAGAACTCAAGAATATAAAATGAGAATAGATGGGGTTACATATTATCTTTTATAAGATTTTCCCTCTTTTTTTTCAATTTGGTTTATAGAAGAACCTTCGTTTAAGAACTGAACAGTTCAAATTTTGTTAAACCATATAAAGTTGAAATAGCATAAAAATTGGAGCTAATATTAATAAGAGTTTGTATGAACTGGCCCAAAAATACTTCAAATACACCGCGATTAGTATCAGAGTAGGTGAATTTAGAACACCACTATTAAGGGAGTTGCTCCACCTGGGAGGTAGAAGATTGCCAAATATTGATCCAAATTTTTAATAGTGTTCACGTGGTTTTGTTTTTGGTGAGGGAGATTTTAGTTATAAGTAATAACTGAGGGATACATTGTACTCTTTAAAAAATAAAGGAATCCTAGGCTGGAAATAAACAATAAATTTTCGAAGCTATATTTATGAAATACCTGTTTTTGCTAGACATTTAACTTGTTTTAGTTTGACTTGATATTGATATTCAAACCTATGAAAGTAGCTGCATTCAAACAATTTTTAAAAGCTATAATCCATGCTCTCTCTGCTCTCTTGTTTTCGGCTGTTGTTGGGCCCGATGCTAGCCTTCAAGAAAAAATGAAATATTTCATTAGCAATGCTTTTAAATTGCTAAGATGAGAATATTTCATAAACAAAACCAAAGAATCTAAAGAAGAGAAAATGTTTTTAAGCTTATCTTTTTAGCTGCTGGAATTCGATTAGCTGAAACTCTTGTTTTTATTAAATTATTATGAAGTTATGACTGATAGAGTATATCTAGAGAGAAGTGAGAGCTAGAGAGAGAAGTGCAATAATATGTTTCAATAGAATGATTTTGTAACCCCTATAACTACTCCCAAAGGGAGTATTTATAGAGAAAATTAGGGTTGGGCTCCCAAGCCTTGGGCTTGGGAGGCCCATCTACAACTGGACCGCTACTGGGCCGAATACAAAGCCACTAATGGGCTGTACAAATGAGTAAGTATAAAATCCGGTTCTGTGAGGTCTTCGTGGCCGACGAGGGCGTGGCCGACGAGGGCACGGCCGACGAGGGCACGGCCGACGAGGGCACCCGGGTTCCTTGGACTCAGGACCATAATCCGAGTTGGTCCCTTTTCGGCCGACGGGGGCGTCTTGGCCGACGAGGGCGCCACTCTATTATCTTGTGCTTTCTGTTCTTCCGAGTATGTGGGTCCGGGGGCTCAGACCCATATACTCCATCAGGAGTCCCCCACTCTCTAAGCTGAGACGTAGACGAAGTGAAGGAGAGTAGATTCCTGTGCTTTGTTGCCCTTGGCCGTTACCTGTTCCTCGTTGTGGACAGGGAGGCCGTTTTTTACTTGATGTCTTCGTTTTGGGACGATGAGTGTCCTTCTTTCAATGGTGGCCGTTGAAGGCACGTTTTGCTTGGGCGCTGATGGTTGAAGTTTGTATTTGGGCCGATGAGGCCACTGAAGTTGGTCCTTGCTTCGAGGACGATGGCGTCTTTCCCTTTGGATGGCCGATGAGGGTGTTTGGGCACTCCTTTTGGCCGTCGTTGATTAGCTTTCATGTTTTTGGCCGAAGAGCCCCTCGTGATTAAGTGATGGCGAAGGACGATGAGCGTCCTTGCCTTTGGTGGCTCGTTGGCCGTTGCAGATGACATTGTGTGCCTTCGGTCGACGAGGTGCAGTGTGATGCGTGGCCGATGTGGCCATGCTCTGTGGTTACCTTTGCATTTTCTCTTTTGTTTTGTTGAGGCCGGTGTAGTCCCCCAGTCCCCCACTGCTTCAGGCCGAGGAGTGTGAGGGGTGAAGGAGTTGCTTGAGTCCCTGGCCGAAGCGGCCTCTCCGTAGTCCCCCTGAATCCAACTCTCATGGCGATTTTCTGGCCAAGGTAACCCTGTGGGAGAACCCTTGTGCGCAGATCGCTTGTAGAGAGTTATCATCAAGGGTCATGACGAGGAGCCGATGGCTTGTGGGCTCTTGGGTTCTTTGATCTTGTGGCCGTTACGTTCCCGGCCGTTGCCGTCTCCTTATTGTTTGGCAGTTATGATCTTGGCGAGCAAGTGGGACGTTGTGGGCGCTTGCTGGCATTTGTAAGGCCGGTGAGCGTGTGTAGGCCGTAGAGTTCGTCTTGCTAGTGGGCTGTTGATATTGAGTTTGGCCCGTTGGTGACGTGGTGGTCCCCCATTGGTGGCCGTTGGTGTGGCCATTGGGGGGGGGGGGTGCCACGTGCAGTGACCGTTGGGTGGGGGGTTCTATAAATACCCCTCCCCCTCCGACGAGAAAACGTATTTGCATTCTGAATTTGTCGAAGTGCTGGCCGATTTTCTAGAGAGATAAACTCCCAAGCCTGTTCTTCGCGTTCTTCGTTGTTCAAGGTTAGTGTTCATCGCGATCTTCCTCACTTTTCATACTTTGCTTCCTAGGTTGTTGATCTAGTGTTAGGCGTTTGAACACCCTTAGATCTTAAGTTAGTTTCCTTAGGCCCGTAGTAGTAGTTATGAAGAGCTTGAACGACGACTACTACCCCTACGACGACCAGCCCTCCACGAGGTCGCTTGACTACGAGGTGCTCGAGGAGTTTGAAGAGGAGATAGAGCGTTTAAGTCCCTACAAATCCGGAGAGCCGGTGGACGAGGAAGGTGAGGACGAGGAGTCCGCCTCCTCTTCAAAGGGTGAGGACGTAGGTGCGTCCCGAGTGGTGGACGGGGCGTCCACTTCTGCTGTCATTCCGTGCCCGAGGCCGGTGTCTGCCGTGAAGGGAGCAGCAAAGCCGAAGAGAGTGAGGAGGCCGAAGAGTGGGCCGGGCATCTCCCACTTGGATCTCACCAACATCTTCCTGATCAAGCCAGAAAGCAGTGCGGCCGACTATCTCGTTGCCCAGATGTACGTGGGGCCGTTCGGGCGGGTTAGGGCACCCAGGCCGACGGACCATGTTCTTCTTCCGCCACCGGGATACTTTGGAGTATACCCGATGAGTTTTGCTAGGGGGTTGAGGTTCCCCCTTCACCCTTTCATTACCGAGTACCTGGACATGGTAGGGCTTCCTCCGGCCCTACTGACGCCGAACAGCTACTCCTTGATGGTGGGGTTTTTGCTCCGGTGTGAGGAGTTGGGCTACAGGCCGACAACGGCCTTATTTATGAATTTGTACCAAATCGGCCGAGGAAGCCACAAGAACTGTGCGGCCTATGCTACTCTTCAACAGCTGCCGAAGAAGAGGAGTTTCACGGATTTGCCTACGTCCATTCATGGGTGGAAGAGCAAGTTCGTGTTTGTGTCCATTGGTGAGAGTGGCACCGAGTTTCCCTCCCTCGGCCATACCGGGAGGTTTAACCTGCACGACCCGCCGAAAAGCTCTATTTTGGACGCTCAGGTGGAGGCTTTCTTGGAAGGGGGGCCGAGGAGCGTGAAAGATTACATTACTGAATACAAGATGGCCGCCCTCGGCTTCTTGAGGTACTATGTCTATGGTGACAAGGAGGATGACCTCCAACTCTGGCCGAGGATGACCACCACCTTTGAGGAGGCCGACGGCCCGGATTTGGGCATTCCTGCTGAGGCCGATGGTAATTCTTTCTTCGGCTTTCTGTCTTTATGTTTTGTCCTTTGCCTTACTAATCTGTGTGTTTTTCCTTTGTAGATTTTGCCATGGACCGTCGTTCCATAATGGCTATTGCCAAGGCCAAAGCGGCCGAGGAGCTGGCTGCTAAGGCGGCCGAGGCGGCCAGACGTGCCGCGGCCGGTGGGAGCGGGGCTACTGTTGATGCGGCCCCAAAGCCTGCCCCATCAAAGAAAAAGAGGTCGGCCACTGACGGCCA